AGCAACCATCACAGCTACAAGCAACCATCACAGCCACACCCATCACAGCTACAAGCAACCATCACAGCTACAAGCACCCATCACAGCCACAACCATCACAGCTACAAGCAACCATCACAGCTACAAGCAACCATCACAGCCACATCCATCACAGCTACTGTCAGCATAGTTGCTGATCCCTGTATTCCCAGTATTATATAGCATAGCAGTAGCATCATCCATGTGCTTTAGACACGAGACCCCTCGTAGGCCTGTGGCTTTGTGTGACGTCACGGGATGCACACGAGGAGGTTCATCCCTCTGTCCCGGCCTCATTCGGCGGCAGACCATCCAGGCGTAGGCAGGCAAGGCACTGGGCTCCTCATCTCAGTCTGACAATATAGCTACTATCCTACAAGTGTGTCTACTTTCAACCTGCGATATCTCCAATTAAGAACCCTTACGATACTACAAGCACCCATCACAGCCACAACCATCACAGCTACAAGCAACCATCACAGCCACAACCATCACAGCTACAAGCAACCATCACAGCTACAACCATCACAGCTACAAGCAACCATCACAGCTACAAGCAACCATCACAGCCACAACCATCACAGCCACAAACAACCATCACAGCTACAAGCAACCATCACAGCTACAAGCAACCATCACAGCTACAAGCAACTATCACAGCCACAACCATCACAGCTACAGGCAAACATCACAGCTACAGGCAACCATCACAGCTACAAGCAACCATCACAGCTACAATCAACCATCACAGCTACAAGCAACCATCACAGCTACTAGCAACCATCACAGCTACAAGCATCCATCACAGCCACAGCCATCACAGCTACAAGCAACCATCACAGCCACAACCATCTCAGCTACAAGCAACTATCACAGCCACAACCATCACAGCTACAAGCAACCATCACAGCTACAACCATCACAGCTACAAGCAACCATCACAGCTACAAGCAACCATCACAGCCACAACCATCACAGCTACAAGCAACCATCACAGCTACAAGCAACCATCACAGCTACAAGCAACTATCACAGCTACAGGCAACCATCACAGCTACAAGCAACCATCACAGCTACAAGCAACCATTACAGCTACAAGCAACTATCACAGCTACAGGCAACCATCACAGCTACAGGCAACCATCACAGCTACAGGCAACCATCACAGGTACAAGCAACCATCACAGCTACAAGCAACCATCACAGCTACAAGCAACCATCACAGCTACAAGCAACCATCATAGCCACAACCATCACAGCTACAGGCAACCATCACAGCCACAACCATCACAGCTACAAGCAACCATCACAGCCACAACCATCACAGCTACAAGCAACCATCACAGCCACAACCATCACAGCTACAAGCAACCATCACAGCCACAACCATCACAGCTACAAGCAACCATCACAGCTACAAGCAACCATCACAGCCACAACCATCACAGCTACAAGCAACCATCACAGCTACAAGCAACCATCACAGCTACAAGCAACCATCACAGCTACAAGCAACCATCACAGCTACAAGCAACCATCACAGCTACAGGCAACCATCACAGGTATAAGCAACCATCACAGCTACAAGCAACCATCACAGCTACAAGCAACCATCACAGCTACAAGCAACCACAGCTACAAGCAACCATCACAGCCACAACCATCACAGCTACAAGCAACCATCACAGCTACAAGCAACCATCACAGCCACAACCATCACAGCTACAAGCAACCATCACAGCTACAAGCAACCATCACAGCCACAACCATCACAGCTACAAGCAACCATCACAGCCACAACCATCACAGCTACAAGCAACCATCACAGCTACAAGCAACCATCACAGCTACAAGCAACCATCACAGCTACAAGCAACCATCACAGCTACAAGCAACCATCACAGCTACAAGCAACCATCACAGGCAGTTCACCTGCATTAACCACTACCAACATTCACATATTTCAGAACAAATATGTGCACTTTGTCATGCACAATACACACAAGGTTGGTTCCTGTGATGTTCTCTTTATCCAAGGAACTTGACTTGCCTATTATAAAATAATCAGTATTAAAGATGAAATATATAACTTAAAGTAAGAGTTGCATTAGAACAGCGTCAACACCAGGCAGTGTTTAAGGTCACCAGGCAGTGTTTAAGGTCACCAGGCAGTGTTTAAGGTCACCATGCAGTGTTTAAGGTCACCAGGCAGTGTTTAAGGTCACCAGGCAGTGTTTAAGGTCACCAGGCAGTGTTTAAGGTCACCAGGCAGTGTTTAAGGTCACCAGGCAGTGTTTAATGTCACCAGACAGTGTTTAAGGAAACCAGGCAGTGTTTAAGGACACCAGGCAGTGTTTAAGGACACCAGGCAGTGTTTAAGGACACCAGGCAGTGTTTAAGGTCACCAGGCAGTGTTTAATGTCACCAGGCAGTGTTTAAGGTCACCAGGCAGTGTTTAAGGACACCAGACAGCGTTTAAGGTCACCAGGCAGTGTTTAAGGACACCAGGCAGTGTTTAAGGTCACCAGGCAGTGCTTAAGGTCACCAGGCAGTGTTTAAGGACACCAGACAGTGTTTAAGGAAACCAGGCAGTGTTTAAGGACACCAGGCAGTGTTTAAGGACACCAGGCAGTGTTTAAGGACACCAGGCAGTGTTTAAGGTCACCAGGCAGTGTTTAAGGACACCAGACAGTGTTTAAGGACACCAGACAGTGTTTAAGGAAACCAGGCAGTGTTTAAGGACACCAGGCAGTGTTTAAGGTCACCAGGCAGTGTTTAAGGTCACCAGGCAGTGTTTAAGGACACCAGACAGTGTTTAAGGAAACCAGGCAGTGTTTAAGGACACCAGGCAGTGTTTAAGGACACCAGGCAGTGTTTAAGGACACCAGGCAGTGTTTAAGGACACCAGACAGTGTTTAAGGAAACCAGGCAGTGTTTAAGGACACCAGGCAGTGTTTAAGGACACCAGGCAGTGTTTAAGGACACCAGGCAGTGTTTAAGGACACCAGGCAGTGTTTAAGGACACCAGGCAGTGTTTAAGGACACCAGACAGTGTTTAAGGACATCAGACAGTGTTTAAGGACACCAGGCAGTGTTTAAGGTCACCAGGCAGTGTTTAAGGTCACCAGGCAGTGTTTAAGGACACCAGGCAGTGTTAGAGATAAGAGATAAGATAAGATTTTGTTCGGATTTTTAACCCCGGAGGGTTAGCCACCCGAGGACTGTCTAACTTATTTCCATTGGGGTCCTTAATCTTGTCCCCCAGGATGCGACCCACACCAGTCGACTAACACCCAGGTACCTATTTGCTGCTAGGTGAACAGGACAATAGGTGTAAGGAAACGTGTCGGAATTTCCACCCGCCGGGAATCGAACCCGGGCCCTCCGTGTGTGAAGCGGGAGCTTTAGCCACCAGACCACCGGACCACCAGGCAGTGTTTAAGGACACCAGGCAGTGTTTAAGGTCACCAGGCAGTATTTAAGGACACCAAGCAGTGTTAAGGACAATACGGAAGGTTACTAATATATTTTTTAATAATCCTGGATCCTAGGTGATCAATATGGTGCAGTGTGTTTTGGCAGCAGCAGTGATACAAGTAACAGCAGTCAAAATGAGGCTATGCTCTCAGTGTTAATAATAATTGTCTTCATCTCTACAAGTACGTGTACAAGATATACAGACCATAGCTGACATCAATGACATACTGCTATATAGAAATCCGATTGCTATGCAAAACTTTTCGGGCAAATTAGGTCAATTTTGTCCCGAAGATGCGACCCACACCAGTCGAATAACACCCAGGCATCTTAGGACAGCAGGTGTCTTAAGGAAATATATCCTAATGTTTTCAGCCGTACGGGGGATCGATCCCTGGACCTCAGTGTGTGAGCTGAGTGCTCTATCAACCGAGCTGCGGAATACCTCAGTATTACTTTTACTGTGTATGTGTGTGTGTGTGTGTGTGTGTGTGTGTGTGTGTGTGTATGTGTGTGTATGTGTGTATGTGTGTGTGTATGTGTGTATGTGTGTATGTGTGTGTATGTGTGTATGTGTGTGTGTATGTGTGTGTATGTGTGTATGTGTGTGTGTATGTGTGTGTGTATGTGTGTATGTGTGTGTGTATGTGTGTGTGTATGTGTGTGTGTATGTGTGTATGTGTGTGTGTATGTGTGTGTGTATGTGTGTATGTGTGTGTGTATGTGTGTGTGTATGTGTGTATGTGTGTGTGTATGTGTATGTTCTGCCTCAGTGACGTTCTTATTGAACCAGTCAACATATGATCATAAACACAGTAATATTAGTTATATAGTTATACCAGTACTAGCGATACTAATTATAACAGTAACATTGCGATGAATGGTTTTGAAAACCGACAAGTTGAAGAATTGAGACACTTATGCAACACATGGGAATCTTTATTGAAGAAACGTTTCGCCACACAGTGGCTTCATCAGTCCAATACAAAGTAGAAGTGGGTAAGTAGAGTAGAAGTTCGAGGTAATCAGTCCCTCAACCTGGAATCGATGTGTTCAGTCAATCACTCTTGTAGGAAGTCCATCACTCCTACAAGAGTGATGGACTGAACACATCGATTCCAGGTTGAGGGACTGATTACCTCGAACTTCTACTCTACTTACCCATTTCTACTTTGTATTGGACTGATGAAGCCACTGTGTGGCGAAGCGTTTCTTCAATAAAGATTGTGTTGCATAAGTGTCTCAATTCTTCAATAGTAACATTACTGGATATTTTAATAATAATGATAATGTAACAAGAATAATGGTGATAATATGAAAGTTATGAATAATGTGGAAGGATGGAGGGTTGTTGGTATGGTGGAGGGAGGGAGGAAGCGAAGGGAAGGGAAGGAGGGAGGGATAGACGGAGGAAGGCAAGGAGGGAGGGATGAGTGAAGGGAGCAATAAGCGGGGGGAGGGGTGAGTGGAGGGAGCAATAAGTGGAGGGAGAACATTGGACTCACTAGAAGCTGCGGGTAATCTTGTGGTGCCTTCGTCTTGGTCCTGCTAACTGGGGGTAACCTGGCACTGGTGACCCTGGATGACCTAGCAAGGATCAGGGGAGAAGACAACCTCCTCCACCACCATCATCACTTGGCACTCTGAGGTCACTTAGTGGCACTCTGGGGTGACCACCTGGCACTAGGGGGTCACTATAGTCTTCACGTCCTCACACTGATGAATCTTCAAGTTGACCAGAGTTGTCACATTGTCAACACTTGTCCGGTGCCTCAGAGACTTAACTAGTGCCAGGGATAACTTGGTTAGTGGGTCTGAGGCTTCACTAGTGAGGGGGAAGAAGCTTACTAGTGCGTTGTAGGCTTCGCCACTACAACAAGAATTTTGCTAGTAAGCCTGAAGGCTGACTAGTAGCTGGGCGTGAGGCAGCAGGCTGCCGCATTCACACTTCATACCAGTTAAGTTTTCAAGTCACTGGGGAGGAACGGTGGCCTCACCCGTATCTCCAACACTTAATCCAACACTCCTCCAACACTTCCAATACACCAACACTCCCAGTATTTCCACAACACTTGCACAGCACTGTTTTACGGAGGTCACATCTTGCCTGTAATCTAGCATTAAATATTAATACATTATTAACCTTAAATAGAACACTGAAAGTCAGTTGTGGGAGATAATCACAGGAGATGATGCCGAGTTTGCTGACTAGTGGGAGGTGAGATTCCAGGGATGCTGCCTGGCCCTGCAGGATGCCATTTAGCTAGTGTGGCACCTGGCACTCGTGGGGGCCGCCGGCAGTGTGATAGCAAGGCAGTGCCATGAGAGGTGTGCTGGCGGCGTCTGTGTGTTTGTGAGCATGTGTGTGTGTGCGTGTGTGTGTGTGGCGGCAGCTGGTGGCAGTGGTGGTGCTGTGGCCGCGTGGCTGTGGCGACTGTGGTGGAGGCCACGTGTTGCCACAACCACCACCACCACCGCTGCTGCTGCTCCTACTCCTGCTGCCCTCGTGAACCAATCAATACAGAGCTTAGCTCTCCGCCATGCACTGACCTCACTCCTCCCAGAGCAAGAGGTACCTATCTCAACCACCCCCTTCCCCCACAACCACCCATTCCACCACCAGTCACTCCCTCCCCATCACAGTACACCCTCCACCTTCCCAACACTTCCCCTCCCCCTCTCTCACTCTCCACCACACCAACAAACATCAAAGCAAACCCAAGCACTCAAAAAGAAAGCGTGAAAATGTATTGTGTAGTCAGCGCTAGAGGCTGGGCCCCTCAGTAAGGACACCAGCGTCGTGATTTCATGAGAGCCCATGAGATAAGCGAAAGGATCAACCCGCATCCGTGACCCGCCACCCAGAAACACAGGCCAAAAATGTATCCCCAGAGTACAGCACCGCAGTCGAGAAGCGGATCTCCGGGTGTTCCCGGTGACATCACTGAACTTGTGTGTATACTGGCCTTCTTTCTTCACCCAGGTGTGTGAGAGAGAGTAATGAAGTTAGTCAGCTCTTAGCCAGGTCGACTGTAACCATCAGCTCTGAGCCAGGTCGACTGTAACCATCACCTCTGAGCCAGGTCGACTGTAACCATTACCTCTGAGTCAGGTCGACTGTAACCATCACCTCTGAGCCAGGTCGACTGTAACCATCACCTCTGAGCCAGGTCGACTGTAACCATCACCTCTGAGCCAGGTCGACTGTAACCATCACCTCTGAGCCAGGTCGACTGTAACCATCACCTCTGAGTCAGGTCGACTGTAACCATCACCTCTGAGCCAGGTCGACTGTAACCATCACCTCTGAGCCAGGTCGACTGTAACCATCAGCTCTGAGCCAGGTCGACTGTAACCATCACCTCTGAGTCAGGTCGAATGTAACCATCAGCTCTTAGCCATGTCCACTGTAACCATCAGCTCTGAGCCAGGTCGACTGTAACCATCAGCTCTGAGCCAGGTCGACTGTAACCATCAGCTCTGAGCCAGGTCGACTGTAACCATCAGCTCTGAGCCAGGTCGACTGTAACCATCACCTCTGAGTCAGGTCGACTGTAACCATCACCTCTGAGCCAGGTCGACTGTAACCATCACCTCTGAGTCAGGTCGACTGTAACCATCACCTCTGAGTCAGGTCGACTGTAAACCATCACCTCTGAGCCAGGTCGACTGTAACCATCACCTCTGAGTCAGGTCGACTGTAACCATCACCTCTGAGTCAGGTCGACTGTAACCATCACCTCTGAGCCAGGTCGACTGTAACCATCACCTCTGAGCCAGGTCGACTGTAACCATCACCTCTGAGCCAGGTCAACTGTAACCATCACCTCTGAGCCAGGTCGACTGTAACCATCACCTCTGAGCCAGGTCGACTGTAACCATCACCTCTGAGCCAGGTCGACTGTAACCATCACCTCTGAGTCAGGTCGACTGTAACCATCACCTCTGAGTCAGGTCGACTGTAACCATCACCTCTGAGCCAGGTCGACTGTAACCATCACCTCT